TTATAAGTTCTCAATACCGCCTCCCCCATCGATTCTCCGGTTAGATGGCCGAGTGGTTATGGCGTGTGACTCAAGCTTCCAGCTTAATCGACTGTGTCGATTAGTATTCTCATGGGCTTTGCCCGCGGGGGTTCGAAGTGAGCAATTCACATAACACCTGTGAAACGACTAGAAAATGATGGCTAACCATCAAAAAGTCCCCCTCTAATCAATGAATCTTCGGATGAAACCATTTTGTTTTCCAGTCGGACATGCCTGTTCCTTTTTGGTTCATCAAAGCAAAGTGTGTTCGTGGTGAGATGATCGAACGTGCGAGGGGTGTGGAAGCGGTGGATCGTCTTTTGCTCGTCTCTTCCCAACGCGTGCTCTCCGTTCATCATCAAACGGACAAGTAGTGCACGAGCTGAACCGTAAGAGTCCGTTCATCTCTCATACCCAGCCCACCCCTACGGACGTACATGCGCTCCCACCTATCCCCCTCTCCACACGACCTCCCCTCCCCTCCCCTCAGGTCTCCTCCCTACCGCTTCCGTCCATTCAACACCTTCCCCAATGCCCTCAACGCATCCATAGCATCCGCCCCGGCCCCCTCACTCCTGCGCTCCTTATCCCTCGCCTCCAGCACTTCCGCGGCATTAGCCAGGGATTTCTCGGCGAGCCGCTCGGCGGTCTCCCGCGTGGTGGCTAGAACGTGGATGCCGTGGGCGAAATTGTCGAGGGAGAATTCTAGGGTTGATGCAAGGGTGCGGAGGCGGTGTTGGATGGCTTCGGGGTTGGGGTGTATGGGGGTTGCTGTAGTGATGGTGGTGGTGGTGGGGTTTTGGAGTTGGGCGAGGATTTCTCGCTCGGGGGTGGAGAGGAGATCTGGGTGCAGGGGCGAGAGAGGGGTTGGATCGGCGTCGGCGTCGGCGTCTGGGTCTGTGGGTGGGGTTGTTGGGACGGCGGAGCGCGTCAGGGCATCCCAGTTTGCGCGTTCGGCTTTGAGTCTGGAGGCGAAGAGGATCAGCTTCGTTTCATTGTGGGATGTAGAGTAGAAGGACACACCTCTCCAACTCGCGCTCGAGCTCTTCTGCCTTCGCGATATTGGCGATGTTGCGTGGATTCGGGGCTTTGCGCAAAGGTATTGCGGGCGGTGCCGCTTCATCTCGCGAAAACCAGTCGCTGAGTGTGCCGTTGGTAACGAGATCGTTTGAAAGCTCGGCTTGGATGACACGCGCTACATCGTTGTCAGCTCGCCTCACATCATCATCAATCAACGACAAATAGACTTACCCGCTTGCAACGCTTGGAACTCTAGGCTCGACGCTTGACTGCTGTCTTTCGGAGCTTCGGGTTTCGGAGGCAAAGCTCGAGTCCCGCACCAACCGAGTAGGCACCGCATTCGTCGCGGCTCAGTGAGCTCTGCGGAGATGTGCTTGTAGAATTCCGCGGTCGGGACTTCGGTATGAGGTAAAGCTGCGCCAGGTAATTATCCATCAGCATGGGAAACAGCGCCGCAGAATGGCTCGCACGGAATGATTTGGACATGCGCGGAGGATTTGCGTGATACGTACCATTACCCCGTCCCTCGTCCATCATACTGCTCACCCGCCGCCCTCGCATGCCCGAGCTGCTACGCCTATGTCCATCATCGCCGCCCTTGCGCATCTCCTTGTTCCGCCGTATAACCGGCGTATCCTGGAAGGGCAGTGTAATTCGCATAATCTTCTCCTCCTCTTCCACGCCATTGACGCCTCGCTTCCGCTTCTTCTCAATCGTGATGGGGCGTGCCTTCTCCGGGCTGGGCGAGCGCTCAGTATTCGCATGCGACTTTGCGTGGGAGGGTTTCAATGGTGTCGGAGCTAGGATGGCGGGCTCGTGCTCACTCGAGAGGCGCTTGCTCCGGCGGGTGGGCTTCTCCGCTGCCTCTCGCTCGGGCGTGGTTGGGAATCTTCGACGCGCCTTCTTCGGCACAGGTTTCTGAGCAGCAGCCACCTCGCTCTGAGCCGGTGCGGGTCCCTGTGGTTTCACCGGTGAGACGACCGCAGGCGCTGGTAATGCTGCCGCGGGTAGCTGTTCTTCAGTCACGGAGTTGCGCACTGCAGGCTGCTTCGGCTCCTTCGCCTTCCTTACACCCTTCTTGAACGCGAATCCATCCACCTCCTCGTCGTAGGCTTTCCGCGCCCTTCGCTTCGGCAACCCATTCGCGTCACCATCCTGCTCCTTCG